AATGCTATTAGGCTTGAAAAAGGTTTGCATTTCAGCATTTTGTCTTTGTAAAAATATTATTTAAAACTTTGTAGTTTATTGACATGAATACAGCCAATTGTTCTTATGTGTCTGTATGAATCCTGGCCAGTAAATTATGTGATAGAGTTGTTGGAATGATTAAATGATGTGGAATTTATTGGTAGATTACAGTTGTCTAAAAACTGAATTCATTGTCAAGTGTACACGTAAGAACTAATTTAAATAAATTACTGCACACAAGACACACATTTATAGTTAAGATATTGGCTGTTGCCTAACTTAGAAAAGGTGGGGACATTATCATATAATACACACCTACTAGCACTAGTTTGTATATGAAAACAGTGATGGGGAAAGAGGTACATACATGTTATGTACCATACCAATTCTAGCATTATATTTCAAGTGTTTTTAATATTTAAATTTGTAGGTGCAGCACACTCTTCTGTGACTGGTTAGACAAATATATTGAGGATACATCCAACTAATTGTGCTTTGCCAAAGATCACACAGGTGCAGAACAGTAAAGAGAGAAAAAACACAAAGATTGAACTCATATGACCACTGACTTGATTTTTAAAGAGACAATGTCTGAGATTTTGCCTGAAGGAAGAGACTGTGATTTTATAGACTTGACATGTAACTTATGAAAAGCATCTTACCTGACATTAACAAGGGTTTCTGGTTTAAAATTTAATTTAATGAAAATATTTTTAAAAATTGAAATGAGGCAAAAAAGACTTTACTAGTAGAAAAATGCCTTGACTCCAGGAATAAGTGAAAAGTCATAGGACTGTTGATATTTTTTCTTAATGTGAATCATGTAACAATTGATATAAGACACACTTATTAATGTTTAAATACAATATTATAACATTTTGTAAAAATTTTCTTTGTTGTTTTTTTGTATTATTTGTTGGGTTATTGTTGGACTGATGTTGGTTTTTAGTAGAACCAACGTAAATACACTGTTGGTTACAGGTTGGGTAATTGTTGAACCAATGTTGGTTATTAGTTGGCCCAATGTAGGGCCAACGCTGTTTGGTTGGGAATACGTTGGCAATGCGTTGGCATTAAAAAGACGTTCAGCCAACCGTTGGCCAAAGTGAGCACTTAGATGGAAACCCAACGTTGGGCCAACGTTGCACGGTCAACCAAGGCAACGTTGGGCCAACGTTGGCCCAACGTATGCTTGCTATCTGGGATAGAACATTGAAAATAAAAGGTGAAAAAATGGGGGGGGGGCATATTTTGTAAGTATACCATCTATTTCTTTTTTTTTTTATATAAATATTAATTTATCCATTTCCCTGGCTGTTATTATTTGATTTGACTTTTTAAATTTTTTTTTACAGCTGAAATGTGTGGAATTTGGGCAATTTTTGGCAGCGATGATGATGTGTCAAGGCAGTGCAGCAGCTGCCTGAAAATCGCTCATCGTGGTCCTGATGCTTTCCGCATTGAAAATGTCAACCACTTCAAGAACTGCTGCCTCGCCTTTCATCGTCTGGCCATCGTGGACGACATTTATGGTATGCAGCCAATGAGGGTCCACGCTTTACCTCACTTATGGATGATCTATAATGGAGAGATTTATAACTGCAAACTGGTGAGTTTTTATGTTTCCTGTAATATCTCTGTTGTATAAGAGCGCATTCACAGAGATTTAGATCGATCCAACTAGATGGACCTACTAACTCCCTGGGGGTTCACACTAAATTGCTGTCAGCCGACCGCACACGGAAGATAATTCCCCCCTTACAGCTTTTAGTAGGCGGGACAGACATTTAAGCCAGCTAAGCTGACAGTAATCTAGTGAGACTCCCCGCAGGGATAGATCGATCTAAAATCTGTGGGAATGGGGTCTTATATTCTGAGATGGCAGTGTAGCAATTTTTTCTCGCTTAGCTAAATCAATGCTTTTCTGTATCTTTTTCCGCCAAATTGTTAAAATTTTGACTAAAACAAGTCAAATTAACTATTGCATTTAGTCAGTTTGTTGATTTTTAAAAGCATTTGGCTAAATTGGCGAGTGTTAGCACTACCCCAAATATGCCAATTATAAGTCTATACTATTTCACTGTTCTTGTATTGTGACTGCATGTCCTTTGTGAGAACAAATGTTAATTTAGCAGTAGTTCCATTACAGTCAAAGATGGTGTCATCCTCCCACTAGTACTGTATTTGCAACATAAATTCCACAATCATTGTGACAAAAAGGTGTCATATTGATGTAATTTGAACATCTGACATATTTGTATGCCTGTAAAGATGACATGAATATTCATACATTTAGCACAACATATAATTTGGAAGATCATTCCAGGTTGTTTTAATTTGTAGACGATACTAAGTTTACAAATATATGTGTCATATCCACAATTTTGGTTGATCAGTAAATAGTCAGTTTTCAGTATGTTTAGATGTTTTGCTTGATGCTACATTCACACAATGTATGCTCATATATCATATCCGCAGTGTGGTTGGTGAATTTTCTTTAGTGCATGAAAGAGTACATTTTTTTGGCACTAAGCTGAGTCACTATGGAGGTGGTCTCCTTACATGCACTTAAATGAAAGCAATAGTAAAAGATATGTTGAATTAGTACTCATTTGGTGTGTGTGTGTGTGTGTGTGTGTGTGTGTGTGTGAGGGTTGCCCAGAGTTTCTCAGTGGAAAAAGGAAAAGGGATATATGTGAAAAAAATCATACTATCAGTGTATTTTATATTCAACTGAAAATTTAGTGAAGATTAGTTTGGTTTTTGGAACTCAAGATGCCAATTGATCTTGCTGCTACCAACTGGTAATTGCACCTAAGATCATAGCCTTTATAATGTCCAAGTGATGTCCTTACACAGTGACTCAGCTTTGTACCAAAAAAAAAGTGTTCACTATGGTAAAACAGACCCATCTTTAGAGCTGATAAAGATCAAAGGGTCAAGTGTTGGTCACAAAGGACATTTCATTATGTACCTAAATTATATAATTCTGCTGCCATACAACAAACTATTTTTGCAGAATTGAAGAATTAGACTTGTTATATGTACAAATTACAAATCTTTAATTCTTTCATAATAATTAATAAGTTGTTTAAGGAATTGATGAAGACGGATTTAAAGATTTCTCAATCAGTGTCCCTCTCATGCATGAATGCATTAATTCTAGCGCTTAATTGATAAAATCATTTGATCGTATGAAAACAGGTTATTCCTCTCCTCACAAACCATACAACCATTCTTTTTTTTTTCATTTAATCAGTGCATAGGAGATTGCATGTTATATTTGATAAATGTCATGCAGCTGTGCACTGCTGATTAAGGCATACTGCTTGAGATGTGGTCAACGGGTGCATTTTTTTCTGGTGTGTCAGCCATGACATTTGCCAAAGCTTAGATCTCTTATACCTCTTAAGCTATCTCATAATTGTTTTTCATTTAATGTGCCTTATGTAGCTGGTGGTACATAACTAAGGGTCAACACCTTTCTGATTGTGTGTACTGGAATAATGAATTAATTAAAGCATATTTTTCTGTATGTGCCAAATACTTTTTAACTAACAGGCCATCTGGGCCACCATGGTCTGATAATCTATTGGCCTTAACCAAAAGTTGCTGTCCCAAGTCCAAATTAAAAAATTACTTAAATGAACGCATGCACAACAAACAGGCTTATTATAAATAAAAAAAAAACCAGATTTTCAAAAGGTAATTAAAAAGACTTTTAGCACGATTGTTATAAAACCAAATTGGAGCTGTACATGTTACAAATGAAAAATATCACTAGCCTGGTCAGGCTATTAATTGACCTTTTTTTCCAGAAATTTTACCAGCCTGGTCTGATTATACAGGCATTGGCAGTTGGGCCAGTGATTAATGTCGCAAACTGCTTTTTAATTCCTTTTTTCCCCAAATCTCAGGTCCAGAAACAGTTTGACTTCGACTATGAGACCAACTGCGACGGAGAAGCCATCCTGCATCTCTATAACCACGGAGGCGCAGAATTTGCCGCGCAGCACCTGGATGGGGTATTTGCGTTTGTCTTGCTCGACACGTCAGAGAGGAAGGTGTACCTGGGGAGGGACACGTACGGCGTGCGTCCAGCATTCCGTATGGTGGAAGATGGCTTTTTGGCCGTCTGCTCCGAGGCTAAAGGTAAGATGATTATTTCTGTTAGTGTACATAAGAGTGCATTCCCATAGATTTAGATCGATCCATCTGGATCGACCTAACTCCCTGGGGGTTCATGCTAAATTGCAGTCAGCCGAGCGCGCACAACAATTAATTACCCCCTTACAGCTTTTAGTAGGCAGGACAGATGCTTAAGCCGGCTAAGCTGACAGTAATCTAGTGAGACTCCCCATAGCCTCAGGGATAGATCAATCTAAAATCTGTGGGAATGAGGTCTAAGAGCCCAATCAGAATAGAAGATGCACAAGCACCATTAAACGGTTTAAACCGTGGCTCCGAGGTTTAATTGCTAGACCCCTGTTAGGACGACGCATGTGGAGGCGAGAAGACCATCAGTGGCTTAATTTGTCTGCTCTAAGAATCTTTCATATAGGGTCCACCATATATGATTAGTGGATCAGAAGATCCTCAGTTTAATAAAAACTTTATTTGAACTTGTTGATAATTTAAAGAATAAAACTAATGTGTCATGATGTAAGGGCTGTATATGTTAATTGTTGTTAAATATATAATATAAATGTTGGCAGTTTTACTGTATTAATAGATATTGATCCATTGTAAAAATCAATAACTCCACCAGCTAAATGTTGCCACATTCAACTTCTGTTCACTGACAGTTTTACCATCCCTCCCTTCCTCCCTCCATCTATACACCCAATCATGTGTCCGTCCATTCTTTCTTCCCTCCCTCTTGCTATCTATTCATCTGTCCTTCCCTTTTCTCCATCCAGGCCCGTAGCCAGCAATTTCAAAAGGGGGTTCTTTTTCTGAAAAAGTGGACCTTTTACCATGTAATCCCCATGTACCTAGGTCAAATTTTACCCAGAGTGGACCTTTTTCCTGCAAAGAGGGGGGTTCTTTCGAACCCCCCGAACCCCCCCTGGCCACGGGCCTGCCTTCTCTCCATCCTCCAGTCCACTTCTATCCCTATGTCTATTTATATGTCCATACAATCATAATTTATGTTCTCACCATTAGTCTTCATCAGTCAACCCCATGGTCCAGCTCTCCACCTATTCCAACGCAAAATAAAAAAAAAAGCAATCAGAGAACATAGACTTCCGTCAAGGGCTTGTGAGAAAGCATTGTATGTGTTTATAAACACTTCTGGGACTTAAAACAACAAAATAGCATTGTTCACTGATGAGACTTTTCTGACTTTTGTTGAAATTCCGACTTCCTTAGGGTCATTGAGTAGTTCTTGTGAATGGTGTACCCTGGACCCCCAGCCAATTTTCCTACTTTTTCATTGAGGACTGGTCTCATCCCTGCATATAGATCTTTTTATTTATCATAGGAAACTTTTTGTGAAAAATCATGTTAATTAAGTTCCAACTATGATTCAGGTCTTTTGGGTTTGGCCCACACCAGTACTGACCATGAAGTGGACATCCAACCCTTCCCCCCTGGCCACGTGGAAACCTATTCCCTGGACAAAAAGGGAAAGGCCAAGTTTCAGGAGATAAAGAGGTTCCATAAGATTGGAGACATGCCGAAATATGAGACTCTAGCTCCTGCCCTGGGTAAGTGGAAGGATTTGGAGTTTTAGGTGGCAGTAACAACAGTGGACTAAGAATGGGTTCCCACAGATTTAGAACGAGTCATCTGGATTGACCTAATTGACCCTGGGGGTTCACGCTAAATCGCTGTCAACTTCCGGGAGCCGAGCACCCAAGAAAGTTAATAACCCCCTTGCAGCTTTTAGTAGACGGGACAGACATTTAAGCCAGATTATTTGACAGTAATCTAGAGAGACTCCCCATGGGGATAGAGCGATCTAAATGTCTGTGGGAATGGTTTCTAAGGTGACATTCAGAACAGTGGACTAACTAGTCCGAGGGTCAAATATGGCAACCCCCTATAAAGCTTGCTGTTTAATCTGCCAATAGATAATGAATAGATTCCCGTGGGGAAGTATTCAAGTAGGTCGGCCATATTTGACCCGCTGATTAGTTAATCCACTGTTGTGAATGTGGCCTAACAGATCAGTGGATCAAATATGGATGACCCGTTTGAATGCTTGTCACGTAATTCCTGTGAGGAATCTGTTCAGTGTCTATTAGGGGATTATGCAGCAAGCTTTTTAGTGGGTTGCCATGTTTGATCCGTGAATCTGTTAGTCCACTCTTGTGAATGTAACCTTACCTTGTGAAAGAAAGACTTAAGTTAGGTATATAATTTGGCTAAACTTGTGTTATTAAATTTTTTTTTACTTTCCATGATTTATTTTAAAAGTTTCTTTTTATATGCTATTGAAAAACATATTTCAGATAATACCTAAGTAAATTATCCGCCCTTTCTTTTTTCTTTCGATTCTTTTGTTTTATCGAGTCGGTGTAATTTTGCAGTTGATGACGTTACAACCAACATACGCAACCTTCTGAACGCAGCAGTGAAGAAGAGGCTTATGGCCAACAGACGAATTGGTTGTCTTCTATCTGGTGAGTTTTCTTAATTTTGAGTTTTTTAGACCAGTGGATGTTTGGATAACTTATAACTGCATTTTTATACTGAGAGAGAGGGAGGGTGCTAGGGTGTAAGTGTATATATGTGATTCATAGGCCAAAAAATGAAGATTGTATCTTGGTTGCTACTGAATGAAAAAAAAAATGGATAACATATAGTCCCACTTGCATATGAGTTCAGTGATTGCGAAAGCCGTCGGACCACGGCCATATGCCGGCAAAAATTCTGTGGGCTGGACAACCCTTTTAACTCATCGGCCCACATGTCCGACGGACTAAAGTCGGTTTCTTTAACAGACACCTCGCCTCATATTTGNCCCAGCTCTCCACCTATTCCAACACAAAATTAAAAAAAAAAGCACTCAGAGAACATAGACTTCTGTCAAGGGCTTGTAAGAAAGCACTGTATGTGTTTATAAACACTTCTGGGACTTAAAACAACAAAATAGCATTGTTCACTGATGAGAATTTTCTGACTTTTGTTGATATTCCGACTTCTTTAGGGTCATTTGAGTAGTTCTTGTGAATGGTGTACCCTGGACCCCCGGCCAATTTTCCTACTTTTTCATTGAGGACTGGTCTCATCCCTGCATATAGATCTTTTTATTTATGATAGGAAACTTTTTGTGAAAAATCATGTTAATCAAATTCCAACTATTATTCAGGTCTTTTGGGTTTGGCCCACACAAGTACTGACCATGAAGTGGACATCCAACCCTTCCCCCCTGGCCATGTGGAAACCTATTCCCTGGACAAAAAGGGAAAGGCCAAGTTTCAGGAGATAAAGAGGTTCCATAAGATCGGAGACATGCCGAAATATGAGACTCTAGCTCCTGCCCTGGGTAAGTGGAAGGATTTGGGGTTTTAGGTGGCATTAACAACAGCAGACTAAGAATGGGTTCCCACAGATTTAGAACGATCCATCTGGATTGACCTAACTCCCTGGGGGTTGACGCTAAATCGCTGTCAACTTCCGGGAGCCGAGCACCCAAGAAAGTTAATAACCCCCTTACAGCTTTTAGTAGACGGGACAGACATTTAAGCCAGATTATTTGACAGTAATCTAGAGAGACTCCCCATGGGGATAGAGCGATCTAAATGTCTGTGGGAATGGTTTCTAAGGTGACATTCAGAACAGTGGACTAACTAGTCCGAGGGTCAAATATGGCAACCCCCTAAAAAGCTTGCTGTTTAATCTGCTAATAGACAATGAATAGATTCCCGTGGGGAAGTATTCAAGTGGGTCGGCCATATTTGACCCTCGGATTAGTTAGTCCAGTGTTGTGAATGTGGCCTAACAGATCAGTGGATCAAATATGGATGACCCGTTTGAATGCTTGTCACGTAATTCCTGCGAGGAATCTGTTCAGTGTCTATTAGGGTATTATGTGGCAAGTTTTTAAATGGGTTGCCATGTTTGATCCCAGGATCTGTCAGTCCACTCTTGTGAATGCAACCTTACTGTGTGAAAGAAAGACTTAAGTTATGTTTATAATTTGGCTAAACTTGTGTTATTTATTTTTTTTTTACTTTCCATGATTTATTTTATACCAATTTGGTCATTTTAGTTGACAGAAGTTGTGATTAAACATGGACAGAAGTGCATGTTTGTGCATTGTATTTGTAATAATCATTCTCATATTTCGAGTCCATCACTAATTTTATTTCAGTATCTTAAATTTTTAGGATTTATCATTTTGTAAAATTCTTTTTCCCCCAAACTTTTGAAAAACATTTTTAACATGCATCTAAGCTGCCCTTTTCCTAACTTTTGAATGATATATTTCTAAATCAGATATAAAACTAAGCTGCTTTTCCAAACTTTTGAATAATATATTCCTGATATAAACCCAAAGTGCATTTGTGAATGATGTATTTCTGATTCAAAATCTAACCTCCTTTTTTGGAACATCTAAATATATGTATTCTGATATGAATGCTATGAATAGAAGTTTCTTTATATATACTATTGAAAAACATATTTCAGATAATACCTAAGTAAATCATCCGCCCTTTCTTTTTCCTTTCGATTCTTTTGTTTTATCGAGTCGGTGTAATTTTGCAGTTGATGACGTCACAACCAACATACGCAACCTTCTGAACGCGGCAGTGAAGAAGAGGCTGATGGCCAACAGACGAATTGGTTGTCTTCTATCTGGTGAGTTTTCTTAATTTTGAGTTTTTTTAGACCAATGAATAATTATATTTGGTAACTGCATATTTTTTATACTGAGAGGGAGAGAGAGAGGGAGGGAGAGTGCAAGTGTGTAAGTGTATGTGTGTGTGTGATTCATAGAAAAAAAATTAAGATTGTATTTTGTTTGCTACTGAATGGATAACATATAGTCCCACTTGAATAT